ATCAGGGGCATTCTAGTCCATTCATGTAACATTATTTGTAAACATCTATATAAGATTGTAGGGCCGGCTGAAGTAGATGAGCCGCCATTCTCAAATCTTCTTCTTCTCTTCTTCTTCTTCTTTTTCTTCTTCTTCTTCGGCTGCTGTGTTCCAGCAAACAACAAACAAAGTGGAAAGGCTGGTCATATGATCAGAAGCACCAGAATCAATAATCCAAGGGATCCTACGATTACTTGAAATAGTTGCATGGTTGGCAGAAGCCCGTATACCTGAATGAGCAAATGCAAAAGCGATTGAATTTCCTGGAGGGTTGGAAGAAGAGGCCACACCCTCTAGGTGACTAATCGTCCTTCCAAACGTCTCATACTCTGCCTTCATAGCTGCTAACTACTCACTAGTAGTCTTCTCTTCAGTTAGGCATCTGTCACTATCTGGATCAGCAGCAATATTGGCACTCCCTGCCTTCATATTATCAGACTTCTTTTGAAACTGAAGAGGAAGAAGCTCGGGATGCAATTTCCAACACTTGTCTTTAGTGTGTTTTGGTTTCTTACAGTACTCACAAATAATTTCCTTCTTCCCTGAGCCACTTCGAGTTCCTGTAACTCCCTTAGGTTTCACTCCCATATTAGCAAAGTGATCATTTAGACCAGCCCTTTGAACTTGGACAAGTCTCCTGCTTTCTTAACTACTTACCAAGGCATAGGCTCGAGACAGTGAAACACTATCATTGGATAAGATATTTTGCTTTGTGATGTCATACTTTGGATTCAGCCCTGTCAAAAACTCAAACACCCTGTTTCTCTCAACAAGTTTCCTATAGGTCTCAGCATCATTAGTGGTGTCCCAGGCTACAACTTCTATCAAATCGATTTCTTGCCATAGAGACTTCAGTATTGAGAAATAAACAATTAAAGGTTTCTCCCCCTGTCTCAAATTCTTCACATCACTCCTCAGCTTGTAAGCCTTGGCTACTTTTAATTTTTGGGAATAGGTTTCGGCAACACTATCTCAAATTTCCTTTGCTGAATTCATCCACAAATAGTGTTGACTAATCTGAGGTTGCATTGAGTTCACAAGCCAGCCAATAACAGTATAATTTTCTTGCATCCATTTTTCATATGATGGGTCATCTTCCGAGGGAGCCTTTTTGCTTCTGGAGATAAAACCCCATTGGCCTCTACTACAGATATGAATTTTTACTGATTGTGACCAAGCCAGATAATTAGTTCCATCTAGCTTTACTGTGGTCACAACTAGTTGAGAGTCAACAGAGGCCCCCAGAACCTATCCGGATTCAGCAACATGCTTGTTTTCAATTTTTGAAGCGTTCATCTTCTTAAAATACTTCAAAAATAACTTCTAACAACTTCAAATAACAACAAATGAAGACAGAAGAAAACCTGTGTTGTGAGTCAACCTCTATGCAGCCGTACTTGCTACCTGCATCACACCTGAAACTTGGGAGAAACAGAGAAATCTCAGCCGCACCTTGTAGACTTCACAGAACACCAATCCACTTGAATTGATCTTCAAGATGAAGGATAAGAAGACTTTCAGTCACTGAGCGCCCAGGTCAAACTCCCTGTGGGGCCCGCAATTTAGATTTCTTCAGAAAATTAGGGTTTCAGGCAACACACTTGAATCTATCAGGAGGACGACAAAACCAGTCCCCTTCTCTCCAAAAACCACTAACAACTGGGCTAAAACTGGTTTCTTTAGCTATTCATCTGATTCAGTTCTCCATACACACTGTATGGGAAAAAAGAGGTGAAAAGAGAAGAAGACGAGCTTGCCCTGATACCAAGAAGAAAAACAGCCTTTTGAAATGAAAGGACTGTTTAAAATGATGCAAATAGTCAATAGAAAGTAGTAGAAATCAGGTTTCAAGAAGAGAGAAGAGGAAGAAGAAGGTGGCGGCAAATAGGGTTCAGAGAGAGATTTTTGAATATAATCTCCTCTTACACCCCTAATCCCATTTCATTAAGTTAAACTTTAGTAATTTACAGAGAGGCCCCTGGTTGGGCATAAAATAAAAAACATGACATAAGAAAAATAAGGGCCCAGATTAAGGCCCATTACAGCAAAGAACATAAAAAGATAAAGAAGGATAAATAGCCTATGGGCCATTTGGCCCATCTTCTCTACATCAACAACCTATTTAGGAAGTAGATATCTGTATTTTGGCAAATATATATATAGGAGAATGCTGCACAACTTATGAAACTTTTGTTACTAGTGCAAATGTGCACGTATTCATTGGAACAGGTGTGTTTGTTTTCATTACCAACTTGCAGGCATGCATATGAAGTGTGTACCTCGAATTGTGCAGCGGATGCAGATTGGTTGGGTTACTGTGCATTGGGCTAGGTTGCTAATGTATTGGACTTTCTTTTTTGTTTATTTTTTGGGTAGGGGTGTTGCCTTGTGGTGGAGTAAGTATCTGCATCACTTATTGTGTATATCAAGGCTATATTGGGGCTGTTGTAGATGTTTAGGCATGGAAGTTATTGAGCATAAGCAATATGAGAAATACTTGAATTCACTGCAATTTTTACAATTGTGGTTTTGGTTCTTTGTGGCATGAAATTTTGAATCTTTTGGATTTTGTTATTGTGTTATGTTATTTAATTACATTCATCCTCTTATTTTTCTTTCCATCTCTAACCTCAGTTTTGGTTGATAATGTCAAGATATTAAAAGCATGGAAGCAGAGGTCCAAGCATTAGAGGAGCTTTCAAAACAACTATTCCTGGACATCTATGAGCTTTGTCAAGCCAAGGTTCATAATCCTAGAGAAAATAAATTTGGCTTCCTCTTTGCGTCTTAAAGTAGTTATTTTTCCTTTCATTTTTTAACCGATCATATTGGTTTATCCTTTCTCTATTATTCTTAATGTATATGATCAATGCATCATCAAACAAGACACTTCAACTTCTCTTAATGATAATTCTTTAGTGGATAAACTGGATATCTTTTCTTACTTAGATCGTTGCTCTAGGTGAGGCTGAGTATTTTGTTTCTATTGCAGAATATCTAAAATGTGCAAGGTATATTTAAAGTATTTTGTTTCTAGTTGTCTTTCAAGTAAATGAAGTGCTGCAAGCAAGGTTCAAAGTATCGGAAACGCAAGGTGTATCAGAAAGGTAATTTTAAGAGACGTATCAAGATACGATTTGGAAACGTATAGATACGGACGAAAAATCAAGATACACTAGAAAATCCAAAAAAAAATCCTTAAAAATATGAACAACAATAAAAATGAGTTTAATGTGAGTATAACTAATTTATTTAAACATAAAAACCATTCTTTAATGATTTATATAAAGTATTGGGATATAATTAGTAACCATTGAAAAATAATAGAAGAACTAAAATGTGTGTGTATATATACTAATATTTATTTGAAATCATTTATTAGTTAGTATTAATTATAGATTTAATTTTTAATATATACCTTAATTTTTAATAAATAAATATAACTTGTATTCATCTTATTATTATATAAATATTAATAGTCAAATTTATAGCATTTGTTGGGAAACATCCACCAAGGCAAGAAAGGTTACTTTAAGTATAAAAAAACATGTCATTTTAATAAGTAATTAAGGGTGGCATAATGGTTAATTAACTATTGTTTTAAGCAAATGACTTGGGTTCGAAACTTGTTACCTTTGGTTTGTGATTTTTAACAAGTTATTTCACTTAAATAACATTTAATGACATATTAAATGTTGTAATCAAAGGTAACTTAAATGAGCATTTAATTAAATTATATTAGCATTTAGTGACATCTCAAACTTGAAGAGGGAAATTAAATTTAAAAAGAAGAGGGAAATTAAATTCGGCTGATACATAATGCGTATCGGCTCGTTTTGGATTGTTTCGGCCGATACATACTCGAAACGGTCCGATACAAGGCCGATATAGATCCGTATCRGTCCAATATGGACGAAAAAATATGTAACCGTGTAATTATACATGTTCCTTGTATCGGAACTCTTCCGAAACGATACGTATTGGCCCGTGTCGGCCGATACGTTGCGAAATTTAAAACCTTGGCTGCAAGAGGATTCAAGGATGGATGGGAAGATTACTTCATAGTGAAAATGGAGGACAGAGGTTTCGTGAAGAAGGTTGTTGTGGATGTAAGGAAGGCAGGGAAAATGGAGGAGAGGATGAATGTTCTTCATGCTAGTTTAGTTGGAAGGGTAATAGGAAGAGAGGTGCACACAAAGGAGCTGGAAGCTTGGGGTGATCTTAGAATGGGGAAGAGAAAAGGTGTTGGGGGTGACGAAGTTGAATGCAGAACTATTGCTTTTTATGTTTCATAGGAGTATGCAGAGGAGGTTTTGGAAGGGGAGCAAACAAAAGAAAGGGATTTCAACCTTAGGCTGGGCTGGTGGTTCCCGGCAGCGGGAGAGCTGAAAGGGGGGAGGTCAAGATATGTAATGTGGATAGGTGTCATGGGGATTCCCCTTCACGCTTGGATTATTCTCACATTTGAAGAAGTAGCTCCAGCATGTGGCAAATTCATGAGGCTGTGTTTGGTTGCAGTGCAATTTTATTTGCACTAGTACAAATGCATGGGTGTGCAAATGAAAAAATGCAAATTTTCATTTAATTTTGTTTTAGGTTTTGCTTTATTCTGCTTCATGTCTTAATTTACTTCATCTGTAATGCAATCAAACAAAATAAACTAAAATTTGAAATAAAAATAGGTTATAATTTACACTCAAATCATTTGCACTGCCACAGTTTCGCATCAGTGCAAATTTATTTGCATTTCAACCAAACACAGCCTGAGGTACGACGACATAAACAAAACCTGGGAGAAACTAGACATGGCTAGGATTCTGGTGGAGGTGAAAAATCTTGCTAACATTCCACAAAGGATGATGTTGGAATTTGCTGGGGGGACATGCGAGCCAAGGCTGAGAATAGAAGGCACCGTCGCATCTTTCCGTAAGAAGGAGAAGATTCAGGCGGACCAGGAATCTCATAGAGAGGAAAGAAGTTTTAGGGAGGAACGTTGGGAACCCAGAGCAGAGAGGAGGGAGGAGAGCAGAGTAGAGGAGAAGACAGAGGAGGTTGGAAGTCAAAAGGTTGTGCAGAGGAAGAAGATGCTGAGTCAGCTTCTTTGCTGAGTAAGAAGGTACAGGTGGATGAAGGAAACTTGAGAGGTCAGAGTGAGGAAGGACAAATGGAGGGTGAGGATGTTAAGTCGAAGGAAGACCTAAAGTCAAGCAATGGGGTAGATAAGACCGAGGAGAAGGAACAGGCTTTTTCTGGTTGCGTTCCACAGTTACAGAGGGGGGACCACCGCTTCAGGGGGGTATTGGTAATGCTTAAAAAGAGGAGAAAAGGAAGGAAGGTTAAAAGAGTGAGGGACATTACAGGAAATCCCTTCCTGGCCTCAAAGAAGGTGTCTGGCTCGACGGTAATCAGCCAAACAGGAAATATCAAGCTCAGAGAGGTAGCAGAGTGGATTTGGGTGGTAGCTAGATACATAGGAGACAAGAAGATCAGCGTTTGAGAAGGAAAGAAATTGGAGGTGTTGCGGTCCATTTCAGATGCAAAAGGGAAGAAAGTGACATTTGAAGCTATGGGGGTAGGAGAGATCTCAGATAGTGACCGTATCCTCATTGAGACTGTTCTCGTAGATGCTGTTCCCAGATTGAGAGTCTCAGAGGTCAAAATCCAACAGGAGAACCTAAGTTTTGTGATCAGAGGATAGTCCATGTTAGTGTCGACTATATAGGGGCAGATTAGTCCTTTTGTTTATGTTCAGTAAGGGGTGTAATGTTAAGTTAAGTGATGTGTCTCATACTTAAGTAGGGGCACAAGAGTCAATATTGTTTTTGTTATAGAAAGATATAAATATAACCTGTCGACTAGAGAGAGCAATTTTTCTTTTTCTCTAGTTCAAACCAGCCTTTCTCTCTTCACTCTTCTCCTCTCTTTCTCTCTCTCTTCTCTCCCTCTATCTTCTTTATCTTTTCTTCTCTATTATTCTGAAAACTAACAGGTATACAGATCTGAAGTTCTGAACCTTATCATGGTACCAGAGCGAGGTTAGATCAGTTCAGATCTGTATAGCCTTCTGCGCACCCTAGTTGAGTTTTTTTGCAGATTTCTCCTAGGGTTCCTGGAGTTTGACGAAGAGGCTGAAAAGGAGTGGTCGTTTTTTATTTCTGGAGGTTTTAATGCCTCTGATTGGTTGTGGTGTGGTGGTTTCAGGTGGCTCGTAGGAAACCCTCTGGTGGACCGAAGAGGGTTGCTACACTAGTTTTGTGGTCAGGGTTCAGATGTGTGGCTCAGATAAGTGGTCGAAGGTACTAGATGTATGGAGTGCTGGTGTGATATCTTTGTGTGTGATGGTTTCTTGTGTGGTGCCGAAAGTGGAGAACAGTGGTGATTACCATTGCTGAAACCTGTGATAATAAATGTTTCAGCAATGGTCAGCTGTAAGTGTGAAACAGTGGTGATCGTTCAGCTATAGAAGTGCAGTGTGGTGTTTGTTGGTGAGTTAGGGTAACATTTTAGTGTGAGAAAGAAAAAAAAATTGGCAGCCATGGGAGACAGTAGTGAACACAAGTCTGTTATGATTCCCCCTGATTACTTGAATGTGCAAATGACCTCCATCAAACTGAATAGAGAGAATTACGTGCCTTGGACCAAATCTGTTGAAGTGTTTCTCGGAGCTAAGAAGAAAGTAAAGCATGTGAGAGAAGAAAAACCCCTAGTTGACTCTTAGGAGTATAGTGATTGGGAACAAGAAGATGCCCAGATTATGACTTGGTTATGGAACAACATGGAACCTAAGATTAGTGTGAACTTCATGTTCTTAACCACAGCCAAGGAGATTTGGGATCACACAAATAAACTTTAGGGAGAAGTACAAAAACACACGAAGCAGAATTCTGAATTCCAGCCTCCCTACTACTAGCCCTCTGCCCCCCTATAAACCACATCCTGCCCGTGAATTTGGCTCAATTCACGGTCAGGATGCATTCCCCCTGTACTTTGGGGCTAGAGAATTCCGATCTGGGCTGATTGGTACTTCTCCCTAAACTTTACTCAGGGCAGGACAATACCACCAGGGTATACCAGCTCTACCAAGAATATTTTAATCTGCAGTAGGGTAATCAGAGTCTTGAGGAGTACTATGTGAGTCTGAAAAATCTAGGGAATGAGTTGAATGTGTATCACCCTCTTACATCTGATGTCAAAATTCAGCAACAACAAAGAGAGCAACTTGATGTTGAAGGGATGAGAGATCCATCATATGGACGCCCAAATCTTGCGGAATAAGGGGGCGAATTTCAAAAAATTTTTCTCTCCCTTCAACTGGGAATCGCATTCCCTATTTAGAAAATCATATTTTCAATGATCAATCTTGAACCATAAACTGAACCAGTTCTGAACCAAAAGGAGTAGGAGAGGATTATACCTGATACGGAGAAATAGTATCTCCCAACGAAGGTGTTCACGCCCAAGGAAGAATCCAAAGACTGCTCCCACTGAAAATGGCGCAGTGTAGGATGGAGCAGAATCAGCAGTGTTCTTCTCCAAGAACTCTGTCCTTCGCAAGAATCAGYAGGATGTCCTTCTCAAAGAACTGCTTCTCCCACAACTGGAGATCGAATTGGCAAACTGGGCGGCAAGAACAGGGAGGTGGCAAAAAAGAATTCTGCAGGGTTGCTTAATTCTTTCTTCTCTGTGATTTCAGCTCTAAAGAGGATGTGAATATCTCATTCTCCTTCTAAAGGCTGCCGCCCC